GAAGTGCAGTCTGGACACAGGAATTGACCTCTTAATATACACTGCCCTGGTAAGGAATTGTAAAAACTGTCAAGGTCACTGAATACTCTTTGCTGTCTTATCTCTGTGACTTTGCTCTTGCCACTCAGGCCAATTGGAATGTCCTTGCCCACTGTCTTCACCTGGTTAACTCCTATCATGCCCTGAGTCTCCATGTAGACGGAAATTTCTCTGCCGTGTTTTTCTCAATTCCTTATTCTCCTGCCAGTTTCCCCATACTGGGTCAGGGAGGCTTCTTCAACGCTCAAATAGCCCCATCAAAACTCTAATCTCACTGAATTCTAATTGGACTACCACTCCCCTGCAGACCCCCCCAAACACTGGCAGACATGGGCTGTGTTTTGCTTTGTGCACCCTCATTGTGTATTCTCTCTCCTTCCCTCAAAATAAATAAATAAGTAAATAAATAATAGATACTAACATCCATTTCCCTATGCCCAAAACAGTTGCTAAATATTGTTGTTAATCGTTATGATTATCCTGAAATGTACAACATAGAACTCTCCTCCTTTGATTTTTATTTTTTTCCTTTGAGGGATAGAGGTTTTCCCTATAGGGCGCGTGTGCTCTCCAGACAGACAGAAAGAGACAGAGAGAGAGAAAGCGAGAAATCACCCCCCAGGGGGGATGGCCACGTCACAATCCCTTCTCCTCCATTCTCCTCTCAGGATCTTGGGCATGCACACACACGCGCCCGGCGTGAGTTTTAAGCCACCAGGTCCAGGACGCGAACCGCGGTCGACTACGTGGGAGTCCAGCGACATAGCCATTACGCTAACTGCTGGTCCCTCCTCCTTTGATTTTAAGAGAGGTCTTGAGTGTATGAGGTAGGTGCAGAAAGGGGAGGTTACAGGGGCTGAAACGAGAGAAATCTTACTATATGAACAGTGATTCAAGACCTCAGAACTTCTAGCACAGATAAGAAGCTCAAAACATGCACATCATGAAATTCTTCTCAGAGGAGGTTACCCAGACAAAATATTATCAGTAAAACTCCAGTGGACAGGTGAGGGGCAATAGATAAAGGTTCTGGATCTGAGTCTGTATTTCATAAGGAAAGACACACAGAGCTCTAAAGCTGATTAATACTGGAAAAGCCTGTCATGTAAGATACTGAGTAGCCCAGCACAGGAAGCATTCAAGTGGACATTGCATAAGCACATATGTCAGGACGTTAGGGAATGAAAGAAAAATATGGTGTGTGTTTAATAAATTGCTAAGAATGGTGTGGTGGTTAAGGCACTGGAATTCCCACATGGCCAACCACGATTCGAGTCCCAGACCTGGCGGTTTACTTTCTTCCTCTCTTTCTCTTGCAAAACTCAAGTGGAAAATACTACTACTACTACTACTACTATTAATAATAATAATAAATAGTAATTCTTTTAAAAAAGATAAATTTGTAAGAGGTCGCTCGAGTTTAAGGTGCTGAGGATGGCAGATGCTGAAAGTGATGAGGAAGATGCAGGGCTTGGTGGAAATGTAGCTCACAGAGCACAGAGAACTGTATTTTGTATTCATGATTTTTCTGGAGAAATTGGGAACCATGGAAAGGCTGGAGGTAAAAAGTGACACAATCATTGATAAGCTTTTTGAAGACCACTTTACTTATTAGTTCTGAACAAAATGAAATGGAGAGGACAAGCCGTTAAAATATGATGTAGCTGTTACAACAGCCCAGGGAATAGAACCCTGAATTAATGCAGGGGTAGCAGGCATGATGGGGTAGCAAGAATGATGAAGAGTGAGAATTTTAGGGACTTAGTAGTAAGTCAAAGAGACAGACTGTATCCAGCAGTCTTTTCAAGAAGGCTCCGCTCACTGTCTTCCACCCTGTGTCTGCCCTCCCGGAAAACAAACCAGCCTTCCTTGTTTGTGAGAGCAGGCTCAGCCTGTCGGCGGGGCTGCGAAGGTTGCAGTCACCTTGAGTGGATTCCCTACGCAGCTCAGTGAGAGGCAGAGCCTTCCCTCTGCTGCTCTGTCAGCTCCACTTTGCATCAAAACTGCTTTGTATGTCACCAAGTTATTAAAGTTGCGATTGCAGTGCTGTGTCAGGAGATGTGCTGAAACTGGGTCAGCGAGGGCTGTCTCTCTAGCAAGACGTGGGTTCCTGGTGTCCCACACGCCAGCCTTGGTTGCAAAGACTCCTTGGCTGCTTCTCCCTAGCCAGCTTTGAGAGGAGGACATCATAACCCCATCACTTGGCTCTCTATTCAGCAGATCCTGTGGTAAATAATTCCCTACATGAAGATTGAAAGAGTCTCTTCTGTTCTCTCAGTTATTCTTTTTTTTTTTTTTTTTGTGCTCACAGGATGGCAAGGTCTTGCTTTTTCAAGTCTCTTTTGAATCCTTCCTTTTCACAGACAGAATCTCTAAGAAGCGAGGAATCAACTGTTTCAAAACCCAGGCACTCAGGTCTCCCCTTCTGCTGCTCCAGGAAGCTCAGGACAGAAGGAGAACAGAAGGGGCACAAACAGATACGTGGTCAGGCAGAGTGAGAGTGAGTCAGAAAGAGACGTAAACTCCACTGGAGGAGAAATGGTCACCCAGCAAGGGAGACAAGAGATGTGAATTTGAGCTTGGAATAAAGAAATTCTTAATGAGTCTGTTCAAAGATAGAGAAGGCTAGCCTGATTCAATTTAACTTAATTCGATTTGAGCTAATACACATTTATCTAACACCTACTATGTAGCAGTCATGCAATAAATCCATGAACAAAACAGACCAAATAAATATTCCTGTCCTGTCCTGGTGGAGTTTATATTGTATTTTTACCAGAAGGAAAAAAAAAAATAAATAAATGATCAATATAGTAAATGATTAAAAATATACATTATAAGTTAAATTAGAAGGTGACAAGATATGGAAGACACTATGATAATCTATGAAAAAACTCACAGGTAGAAATCTACAAACCAAACTATGGAGAAAGACAAACAGAAAGAAAGAGAAATGGAAAAAAAAAGGTGGAGGAAGAGGAATGTCAGGGGTCAGGGATGATGCAATTTTTAAAAGGGTAGTTAGGGTAGGGCTCATTAAAGAAGTAATATTTAGGGACCAACAGATGGTGTAGCAGTACATTGCTGGACTCTCACATGGCCAACTGTGGTTCAAGCCCCGGATCCGGTGACTTGAAACTCACGCCAAGTGCATGTGCGTGCATGCCCAAAATCCTAAGAGGAGAATGGAGGAGAATGGATTGCGGTGTAGCCATTCTCTATGGGAGGAGGTGATTCTCAATTTCCCTCTCACTATCTCTGTCTCTATTCCTCTTCAGTGAACGCAAATGCCCCAAGGTAAAAGAAAAAAAAAAAAGTAGTATTTAAACAAGGAAGTGAAGAAGGTAAGACCCAAGTGGATTATTAGGAAAAGTGTATTCCATGAAAATGGAAGAATCTTTTTTTTTTTATTTTCTTTTTAAAGTTTATTTACTTCCTCTAAAGAAAGAAGGACAGAGAGAGAGCACTCCTAAAAGGATTGTTGTGTGACAATCCACTCCAGTCTCAGCCAGCCGGATGACAGACACACACGTGCCTGGCATGCCCAAAGAGGCCTCAGGGTGTGATCCCTGGACCTTGCCATGTGAGTTCAGTATCATAGTTACCATGGTACCACTGGTTGGCACAGAGAGGAACCATTTCAAAGGCTGAAATGTCTTAAGCAGTGTGTCTCACAAGTCCAAGGCACAGCAAGGACACTGAGGTTGGAACCACCATCCAGGTGATAGGAAGAACAGAAGGAAATGAAGTAGTGGAGAGATTAGGAGTGTCTTGTAGCTCCACGTGAGGACTTTGGTTCTCACCCAGACTCACATGGGAAACTCTTGCCCCAGAAGATCATGAGCTCTCAGAGAACGGAAGAACATCATCTAGAAAGAATACTCTAGAGCATCTAGAGAACAGTAATTCTCAAACAGGGATGATTTCGCCTCCCAGAGAAGTCTAGCAATGTCTGAAAACACTCTTGGTTGGCATAAGCAAAGCAGGTGTGCTACCGGAATCTGGTGAAGAGTCTAGAGTGATCTTCAACACTCTGCAAAGAACAGGACAGCCCACCACAGCAAAGGATTATCTAGTACAAATGCCAGGTGATCTAAGGCTGAGATACCCTGCTCTAGGAGAAAATCAAGCTTCAGTGGTCCAGCAGTCTACATGTTCTTTGAGTAAAATGTACCACCAGCAGGCCAAATGATCTATTACATACAGTCAGCATAGAAGACCACAATTTTAATTTTTTATATCAAAAGGAAAAGCATATAGTTGATCCTGGATTATATTCAACTTTATACCAATACAGTTGTAAAATTAATCTTTTTTTTTAATGGTGGAAGGAGCCCATAAAAGCAAATGTACGTAGGGTCCTGCATTTTAAGATATTAATCTTAGATCCAGGAGTCCTCTGTCTTCTTGAGTTCTCCCTTTATGAGCTATGTTCCCAAGCCTAAAGAATTAAATCTTATCCTGTCATCCCTCCTTTCTAGGTCAGTCAAATTATAGACAATGCAAACTTACTACTAAGTTCAGGCAAACAAGAGTCATTTTTATGGAATCCCAGAAGAACACTGTCAGAGCTGAAAGGGTCTCAAGAATTTATGTGGTCTGGCCACGTCGTTTTATAAAATAAGGAAACTGAGGCCTGGATTGGAGAGGTCAACTGACTGATTTGTACCAGAGCCAGGACTTGAGTGATCATTTTAGGGCTCATTTGGCCAGTTTTCATTTTCAAGTTTCACATTTTCTTATATCAATTTCTTATAAATGAAGATCACAGTATCTGATAAAAACCCAAAATACTTAATGTCATTCTTTGTAATTTTGTAACACTTTCCAGTTTCCTTTCTTTTATCTTTTTCTATTCTTTTTTTAAAATTTTTTCCAGAGAACTTGTGCACGTACCAGAGAGACAGAGAGAGGGAGAAAAAAAAGTGAGAAAGCACCCCTAATGGAGCATGGTCACTCACCCAGTGTGTTTCCCAAGGCTCTGGATCCAGGACTCCAACTGTGTGATAAGCCATGTGAGAATTAGCCACCTTAACTAGCAGACCACAAGCTCGCCTCACTTTTCAGTTTTTAGAGCTCTTTAACAGTTTTTCACTTGATCTTTATAATAACCCTGTGAGATAGACAAGGCAACGTTAATCATGCCTATTTCTGAGATGCACAAGCTGACTGTCGGTGGTTCCCTATGCGTGAATACAGACCTAAACAGGAGTGGTCACAGAATAGAATGCTAAGCCCTTGACTTCTCTTTCAGGACTCTCCCCTCAGCTATCACTCTTTATGATTTTGAATACATCACGTGGTGCCAAGAACACACTTTGCATTCAATAAATACTTGTTGAATGAATAATTGAACTGTTGTATTTCATAGATTCAATCATGTTCCCAGAAACATGGCAATCCTTGTGATAGAAGTCTGATACAGGTTAGTAAGATAGATGTTGGTTTTATCTACAAAAGTATCACCAAAGAATAAAAAG